GCCACACATGAATTTCTGGTCACACATTGTTTGTTCGTGAAAACATTAACTGTGTCCAGAAAATATATAGTTGTCTGCTCAGCAAAACATCAATTGTGTCCAGAAAATATATACTTGTCTGCTCAGCAAAACATCAACTGTGTCCAGAAAATATATACTTGTCTGCTCAGCAAAACATAAAATCTGTTTAGGAAACAGCCGGTCAGAAAAGAAATGACTTTCTAGAAAATACACTGCATCTTTTTGTTTGGAGATATTTAATTTTTTCTTGTAAAATCATACATCTGCTGTTTTTTGGATGGGATCTAATTGTAAAAAAACGTTAGGTTCCCATTTTCATGAATGATCACTTTTCATGGCCAGGAATGTTATAAGTGATATTTCTATGTCTCCCAAACTAGTGAAGAGTTTCAGCCCTGCCCACAAACTCTGTAGCTAGGGTGAAGACCCATAAATATATATTTACTAGACAATACACATGTTGTAAATATTCTCTCGTGGGCAGAAGTTCTTCTGAAATTTATCAAAAGACAAAATATCAGTTTTCAGAACTCTGTTCAGCATTATCAAATTGTTTGCAGGTGTCGTGTTGATTCTCCAAAGTTGAAGAACATTGAATTGTTCTAATTATGTGATGTATGTTGATATATTCTGTGACTATATGTTGTTTATTCATTGAAGAGAGTTCTTTATGCAGCTTACTCTTGTTACATATATATGTATATGATTGATAAATAAAAGCTTAAACCAATATGCCGGCTAACCTTTTGGTTTTCATTGTTTCTGTATGCATGCTCATTTGGTGTTGAACAAGCAGGGGCATTTAAAGCAGTTTTTTGATACAGCTTCAGAAGTTTAACAGAATCTGCACAGTAATCTTTAAATGATTTCTGATTTACTGATTTAACCCTGGTGACCTAGGAAAAACAACAATGCCAGTGACCTGGAATTAGGGAATTTCCGAAATTTTATGTGTGTTGTTTTTAAAGATGTTACACAGGTCACCCCGAACAAAAAAAAATCATAACTATTCCATTTATTGACCAAAACAATATTAAATTCCATACAAAATATGTGGAGTCTTTATAAACATGAGTGTAGCATCTTTGTGTCAGGAAAAATATGTATGGTGCCCCCCCCCCCCCTTTTCCCCCCAATCTGTTACCCAGTCACAGGTTAACAATGTGACCAGTTGGAAAATTATAACTTCATAATTTCAATTAATAAATCCCCCCCCCCCCCTTTTTTTTTTTTAAATAAGGAAAACCCACTAAATACTATTATATATTATTCTTGGCCCTTTTAAACGTGTGCACAAACGCAAGCAATAACAATGCTGTTGGCTAGGCATCTGGTGAGCAAGCTACTGTAGCCGTCAGAAAGGTGACTCTGAGAATTGAATGCAGCTAGAAATGTGAGTTTTGTGACTTCACAGGTCAATATTTTGACTGGTGACTGATTCTCAGTCAGTACTGCAGGAGGTTCACAATGGACAAGTGTGGCATCAGTGGATGAGTGTGGATGAGTGTGCCATCAGTGGATGAGTGTGCCATCAGTGGATGAGTGTGGCATGAGTGGATGAGTGTGGCATGAGTGGATATGAGTAGATGAGTGTGGCATGAGTGGATGAGTGTGGCATGAGTGGATGAGTGTGGCATAAGTGTGGCATCAGTGGATGAGTGTGGCATGAGTGGATGAGTGTGGCATGAGTGGATGAGTGTGGCATGAGTGGATGAGTGTGGCATGAGTGGATGAGTGTGGCATGAGTGGATGAGTGTGGCATGAGTGGATGAGTGTGGCATGAGTGGATGAGTGTGGGATGAGTGTGGGATGAGTGTGGCATGAGTGGATGAGTGTGGCATGAGTGGACGAGTGTGGCATGAGTGGATGAGTGTGGCATGAGTGGACAAGTGTGGCATGAGTGGACAAGTGTGGCATGAGTGGACAAGTGTGGCATGAGTGGACAAGTGTGGCATGAGTGGACAAGTGTGGCATGAGTGGACAAGTGTGGCATGAGTGGACGAGTGTGGCATGAGTGGATGAGTGTGGCATGAGTGGATGAGTGTGGCATGAGTGGATGAGTGTGGCATGAGTGGATGAGTGTGGCATGAGTGGACCAGTGTGGCATGAGTGGATGAGTGTGGCATGAGTGAACGAGTGTGGCATGAGTGGACAAGTGTGGCATGAGTGGATGAGTGGCATGAGTGGACAAGTGTGGCATGAGTGGATGAGTGGCATGAGTGGACAAGTGTGGCATGAGTGTGGATGAGTGTGCCATCAGTGGATGAGTGTGCCATCAGTGGATGAGTGTGGCATGAGTGGATGAGTGTGGCATGAGTGGATATGAGTAGATGAGTGTGGCATGAGTGGATGAGTGTGGCATGAGTGGATGAGTGTGGCATAAGTGTGGCATGAGTGGATGAGTGTGGCATGAGTGGATGAGTGTGGCATGAGTGGATGAGTGTGGCATGAGTGGATGAGTGTGGCATGAGTGGATGAGTGTGGCATGAGTGGATGAGTGTGGCATGAGTGGATGAGTGTGGCATGAGTGGATGAGTGTGGGATGAGTGTGGCATGAGTGGATGAGTGTGGCATGAGTGGACGAGTGTGGCATGAGTGGATGAGTGTGGCATGAGTGGACAAGTGTGGCATGAGTGGACAAGTGTGGCATGAGTGGACAAGTGTGGCATGAGTGGACAAGTGTGGCATGAGTGGACAAGTGTGGCATGAGTGGACAAGTGTGGCATGAGTGGACGAGTGTGGCATGAGTGGATGAGTGTGGCATGAGTGGATGAGTGTGGCATGAGTGGATGAGTGTGGCATGAGTGGATGAGTGTGGCATGAGTGGACCAGTGTGGCATGAGTGGAAGAGTGTGGCATGAGTGAACATGAGTGGACAAGTGTGGCATGAGTGGATGAGTGGACAAGTGTGGCATGAGTGGATGAGTGGCATGAGTGGACAAGTGTGGCATGAGTGAACAAGTGTGGCATGAGTGGACGAGTGTGGCATGAGTGGACAAGTGTGGCATGAGTGGACAAGTGTGGCATGAGTGGACAAGTGTGGCATGAGTGGACAAGTGTGGCATGAGTGGACAAGTGTGGCATGAGTGGACAAGTGTGGCATGAGTGGACAAGTGTGGCATGAGTGGACAAGTGTGGCATGAGTGGACAAGTGTGGCATGAGTGGACGAGTGTGGCATGAGTGGACGAGTGTGGCATGAGTGGACAAGTGTGGCATGAGTGGACAAGTGTGGCATGAGTGGACAAGTGTGGCATGAGTGGAGTGTGGCATGAGTGGACGAGTGTGGCATGAGTGGACAAGTGTGGCATGAGTGGACAAGTGTGGCATGAGTGGACGAGTGTGGCATGAGTGGATGAGTGTGGCATGAGTGGATGAGTGTGGCATGAGTGGACGAGTGTGCCATGAGTGGACAAGTGTGCCATGAGTGGACAAGTGTGCCATGAGTGGATGAGTGTGCCATGAGTGGACAAGTGTGCCATGAGTGGACAAGTGTGCCATGAGTGGACAAGTGTGGCATGAGTGGACAAGTGTGGCATGAGTGGACAAGTGTGGCATGAGTGGACAAGTGTGGCATGAGTGGACGAGTGTGGCATGAGTGGATGAGTGTGGCATGAGTGGACGAGTGTGGCATGAGTGGACGAGTGTGGCATGAGTGGATGAGTGTGCCATGAGTGTGGCATGAGTGGATGAGTGTGGCATGAGTGGATGAGTGTGGCATGAGTGGATGAGTGTGCCATGAGTGGATGAGTGTGGCATGAGTGGACAAGTGTGGCATGAGTGGACAAGTGTGGCATGAGTGGACAAGTGTGGCATGAGTGGACAAGTGTGGCATGAGTGGACAAGTGTGGCATGAGTGGACAAGTGTGGCATGAGTGGACAAGTGTGGCATGAGTGGACAAGTGTGGCATGAGTGGACAAGTGTGGCATGAGTGGATGAGTGTGGCATGAGTGGACAAGTGTGGCATGAGTGGATGAGTGTGGCATGAGTGGATGAGTGTGGCATGAGTGGACAAGTGTGGCATGAGTGGATGAGTGTGGCATGAGTGGATGAGTGTGGCATGAGTGGATACCAGGCTTCTGCACATCAACATCACAGGGACTCGGTGGAAAAACTGTCCAGGCTATGGAGGAGTGCGAGGGAAGGAAAGAGTGGATTGTTTGGCTACAAAAACAATAGCTACAGGAACACTCTTACTGAATGTAAGAGGCATTCTGAAGACCAGTTATGAATGAATGAATGATAGAAGGTTAGATGCAATAACATGTGTAAGAATGTGTGAATGAGGAATTAGGAGTGGATCTGGTAAGGAGAGATTTATAAGGGAAGAGAACGATAAATGTATAATCAGTATGCTATAGGAGCAGTTAGTATCTACACCCTAAGTTATTTGCTATGGGAGACGGAGCATCTATGGGTATGCCCGGTGTACTATGATGTTGATTATTAAATCAGCAATTGGCAAACTACCGAGGCAAATGTTTTAAGGTGCAGATCCAGTAGCGGACTGGTTGAACACGTCATATCTGTACTTTCACAACTCTTTTGGAACAACATTTAATTCTAAATGCTTGCAGCCCTAAACATGTTGTTTCATACCTTGTATCAGGACTCTCTCATAATGATCTTCAGCGTACCTTTCTTGTTCAGTATGAACGTTTCTTTAGCTTTTACTTTACAGCAACCAGAAAATCCATGCATTCATTCCCTTGCACTTGTGCATATCCGGGACAGTTAAGCTTTTCCAACCGCAAATAGTGCGCGTGTGTGTTCGACTCTATATGGGTTCCAGCCAGTGTGATGTGTTCTTAAACTTTTTACATTTGGTCTGAGTATACTAAATAAATCTGGCTCCTTAGGAAAAGCTTGCACTGTGTATCTGGCCTTTATAAAAGCACTGCTCTCATATCTATGGAGGCTCTCTCTTTCCCTCTGGACGTCTGCTGCACAAACCTTCTCGAACTGGTACAGTTAGTGTCCTCAAAGTTCACAGCTACTGCTAGTATTAACACTGTCGACTCTTTCTGCCGAGGACATGATATCTGTTCTCACTGTATACTTGCGCCCAGCAGTAAGCTCTGATCCCTCATGGCAAATATCATGTTGAAATATGAGGACTGATCCTACAAAAGGAACAGAAAAGGTAGAATGAGTGCGCAGATGTGACTTTGTGGGTGATCAAATATTAACATTCAAACAACTTTCCCAAGATATTATTTTTTAAACTTTCACAATAAGCACTTTTTTCTGAATAAATGTGATCATCATAAAACACATAATTATCACACTGAGTGATGACCATCGCACAAATACACTTAAAATCTTAAAATGCTACCGCTAAACACAATCTTCATACACACAATTTCATCATAAACATTACTGGTCTCAATTAAAGCTGATCAGCTAAATATCAATTATCATGGTAATTATGATATGAACTTTAGTGCAATCATCACATTAGTACTATGTAGTGAGTATGGCAATGGGTTTATGAAATAGGAACTGCTACAACTGATAAATGAGAATGCCAACTGATTACACTCGTATCGGGGATCCCCATGGTGTAGTGGCCAAGCCTTTTGCTTCCTGCTCTGAAAGTCAGTTTTTTAAATGCCTGCATCATTTGTTTCTTGAGTGCCATCTTTACAGTGATCAATGGGGATTGTCGCCAGAGCTATGGAATTTGTGCTTTGTGCAATGCTCTCAGTAGGCAGTTAGCCATTCTAGAAAGAGAAACGGCCATATTTGATCAAACCTGGTGCAACGAAGTCAATACTCTCGACTTCAACTCAACACTCGCATGTGCACAGACCATCTTCACTATCAGTCCATAAGTGCTCAAATCCCCTGCTCAGTATCTTACAATACCAGTTCTGTATTCGTTAACTATTCTTTCTTGGCTTTGTAGGTAGAGTTCTTGTCTGACTTCACACCTAATGATGCAAAAATTGTGCATGGTTGAGGTTGCTAACTTATAGTCATCACTTTATTCATTGTTTGTCCTGCCTCTCTGAGCACATTAACTATATCAGCCTGGTCCACCATTCACCAGCTTTACACAAAGCTGAGCCATCCAGCCTATCAGCCTGTTAATTTTCTCTCACACTTACATCACATAGCATGAAAATAAAAGTGATTTCATGTCAGTGATCTTCTCAATGATTACAGTTACCATCTCTATGCCTAGATAATCTCAACAGTCCTAGACATAAAATTCATGTTATTGCTCCTGACTGGACTCTTGCCAAGCAGGGCCAGCCACTAAACAGTTGTAAAAATACTCTTTTCTGTGGCCAAAGCATCCTCTGTAAGAATCCATTAGAAGAACCATAAATTTGTCAAGCTGTACTATGTGTAGTTTATAAAACTGTGGAATTATTTAGGAACTGTCCCCCTAAAGAATCACAAAGTCAGCTGCATATAATTAACAGATTTGAGCAAGTCTTGTATTTTATGAACCTTAACTGGGTAATCTTTATTCTTCTTCTTTGTGTAAACTCCGACAGAAGTTTCTGGTTGTTCATTCACTTCTGTAATTCATGCTTGTTGGGGATAGTAGATCTACTCTTGTTTTCTCCACAATACAGCTTCTGAACTCACAATGGTTCTCAGGAATTAACAAAAGGGCCCCAGAACCCACAGTGGCACCCTGGAACCCAAGCAGGGGTTTTAGTTTATAAAACTGTGAATGTTTTAGGAACTGTACCTATTCACAATCACAAAAAGGAGTTGCATATAATAAACACATTTTATCGGTTCTTGCATTTTATGAAACTACATAAACTTTATAAATGAATAGGATTTACATCTGTATCGCTGTGGCACTCATTCTGATTTATTTTGAAGATTTGTTACTAATCGTTTTTTAATCACAATGTCAAATCAGTATTTTTGTATGGGGCGGAAACATGGAGAACAACTAAGGCAATTACTAATAAATTACAGACAATCATTAACTGGTGCCCGTGCATAATAGAGTGAATTAAATGGTATGATAGAATATTTAATGTAGAGCTTTGAGAGAGAACTAAACAGGTTCCAGTGGAACAAGAGGTGAGGAAAAGACACTGGCGCTGGATTGGACACATACTGAGAAAACAGGAGAACAGCATAACCAGAATGTCTTTGCATTGGAACCTACAGGGGCATAGGAATAAAGGAAGGCCAAAAAACACATGGAGAAGAGAGCTGGAGAATGAAGTTAGAAAGATGGGGAAGACATGGGGAGAGCTCTATGCAATGGCGAAGGATAGAATGACCTGGTGTGAGTTGGTTGAGGGCCTATGCTCCATTGGGGGATAGAAAGGCAAAAGAAGAAGAATGGAGGCAGGGTATTCAAAACTATTTGCACAGTCTTCATTAATTGTAATTTTATTTTTCAGTTTTTTTTAAATCTGTAGGCATTTTAATATTTTTTCTTCCTCTATTGAGATATTGGGAACAGTAGCACGATTTGAGTAAAACAGGTGAGGCATGGAGATAATGTATATATTCATGTATTAAATTTAAAAAAATTAAAATTTTGCATTCTTGTATTTAAAATAAACATACCCCCCCCCTCTCCCCCCCCCCCAAAAAAAACGTACCTGTCTTTGGAATTACTGGCACAAGATCATGTTGGACCCCAATAAAAGTTGTTGCACCTCCTTCAAAACCCTTGATGATAGATAATATACAGGATGAGTTATATCGCCAATGTGCAGCTAAATAGTACTCATTTTTAACATTTAGTGTAAATGCTGTTTTTTTTTTTTTTTTTCAAATGGTTGTAGTAAATAAAGTAAAAAGTAAAGTGAAGATCCCTTTTCACGCCCTTAGGCGCATCAGGCATACAGGAAGAGCACCCATATTTTTACAGACACTGGGTGGGTAATGTGGTCAGCATTACGCCAGCCGTCTTTACTTTCCCAGAACACCCATCCAGGTACCCATTTTAGGCTGGGTCCACCTGCTACGCCCCATAGCATGAAAAAAATCCATGTAGCCTGCAGTGGGTTTCAATCGCAGTATGTTATAAGTAAAGATCCCTTTTCACGCCTTTGGGCGCATCGGGTATATGGGAAGAGCGTGGTTGTAGTAAATATCTGGTGATAATTATCATTCATATTTTGAAGTTCTTTACATTAATTAGACAATACAAGCCCTGCTGCGTTAGATAATTAAGCTAGAAATTAAAAAATTAGACACAAGAATCACCTTCTTAAGTTAGACAATCAGGCACATATTACCTCATTAAGATACAGCTGAAATGTAATGTAACTTCGCTCCCCATTATCACGTTTGTATGAGCCATCAAAATGTGGTCTGAAGTAGTCTCCGGCATCATATCTAAGAAATCTCAAGCTGAGATAAAACAACAGTTAACATTAAACAATATTAAGAAAAGATATAAAACCAAACAAAAAGTATATTATCAAGCTTCACAATATAACTATTACAAACAAAATGTGAACGTTGCTGCTATTGAGCCTTCATCAGCACATACAAATGAAACAATACTACACAGACACACAAAATCACTTAGCTGGTATCTCGAAGCAGCCGGGTCAGTTGTTTCTCAGCAGAATCACAACACGTCTGACTGACTGACTGACTTTCTACCCCACCAGGACATCACACAAGCGATAAACATCCCATGACACATTGTGCCACCATGTGGATGAGGATCACTGTGGAGAGGTCCCAGAAACTGCATCAGCCATTAGGCCATATTAATGGCTGGGCTATTTTGCGGCCCCTAGCAAGAGCCAGAGTAGGGCTTCACATAACGAAAAATGTTATCCTAAAAAGGATGGAAAGTGATGTCTACTCATGACTACATGTGTCGGCTGTAGGAATAAATACCCCCTTTGGAATACCAGGGTCCATAACTGGGGGGTTGGAGATAAAAATGTGAGGGCAGTTCAATCCCCTGGGAGTTTAAATGAAACCGTGTTGGCAATTCAGTCCAGAGGGATTTAAAGTCCCCAGAGTATAAATAAAGTGATTCTCAAGAGACTTGCGGACTCTGTCACCTCCATGTCGGTACTGGTTTCAGAGCACCATTGTGCACATCCAAAGCATGTTGTCTGAACCTGTCGGCCAGCCGAAGACCTGTTTCACCAATGTATTTTTCATGCCACATCTCTTGCAGTTGATGGCATAAATTACATTGCGGCTGGTACAATAGAATGCTTCACGTATGTGGAAGGTGGCGTTTAAAAAAAATGAGTCAAAACCCACTGGAAAACATTTTTTAAAAAAAAAAATTTGCACAGGGCATAACAAAATTTTTTTAAAAGTTTGACCTTTTTTTTAAATAATAAAAGATATGAGAAATAATTTAAAAAATAAGGTGGGGCGGGTTAAAAAAGAAATACATTCCCGGGCCCCAAAAAAATTGTATCTTTTGAAANGGTGGCGTTAGGGAATTCTAGACTAGCCACCTGTACCACATATGGACAGGTTCTGCTTACAGGTCTGTGGCAAGAAACCGTGTCGAAGTGGGGCTCAGACATGGGGCATAACCTACTCTTGACTAGAATGTCCTTGAGGTTACGATCGTGCCTGAAATACTGGCACTAACTCAGCCAGACGAATCAAGGGGTCAGTGGCTATGGCAGGACTGACTCTCTGATCTAGAAAGAACCGAAAAGTCTGGAGGCCATCGGAATGTTGAATAGAGGTGTAGAGGGAGGTAACATGTAAGGTGAAGATGTGGCACCTGGAAGAAGAGGTGAACCAGATAGACTGAAAGATAGAGATAGCATGGTTGGTGTCTTTGATGTAAGACGGGAGATCAACGACCAGAGGCTCCAAAATCTGGTCGAGGAACCCGGATATGAGCTCTGTGGGACAAGCGCAGGCGGACATGATAGGTCTACCCGGGTTGTCCGGTATATGTATCTTGGGAAGCATGTGAAGGCCAGGCTTTCCCAGACAACTGTCCTGGACAAATAGAGAGCTGGCCCGTCCAGGCCTGGATGAAGGTTGTGATGGTACTTTTCACTATTTTGTTGTTTTTTACCGTAACATCCTGTGTCTGGGTTCATAGAAAGATGTGTCACTAAGCTGACTGTCCCCTTCTTGCACATATAAATCTTTTCTCAAGACTACTATCGCACCTCCCTTTCGGCAGCTTTGATAAAAATATCATCACAAAGTTTAAAACATGTGAGTGCCTGAAGTTCTTGAGGTGAGAGGTTTACATTACAACATTACAACATTTACAACATTAAACAATGTGCTTCATATAGCCTGTTATTTTATTGTATTTAAAACTGCAGAGGTAGCTTAACCCTATTGTTCCAAGAACTCTAAAAAAAATGAGTCAAAACCCCACTGGAAAGACATTATTTAAAAAAAAAAAATTCAGCACAGGTCACTAACAAATTTGTTTAAATGTGTTGACCTTTTTTCAAATATATAAAAGATATATCGAGAAGTAATTAATAAAATAAGGTGGAGCGGTTAAATGAAATACATTCCCGGCCCTAAAAACATATGTATCTGTGACCCTGTAACCTCTATCCCTGAGGCTTATGGGAAAAGAACATGTCAGCTTGGCTTTAAGAAAGCTGTTTGGCTCAAAAGCAATCTTCCCTAAATGATATTTTAAATTAATGTATTTACAACCTGACATTCTGAATGTATGTGCAGACACGAATACAGCAGATAGCATTAACTATGTATCCCGTAAACAGGCCACTGTAGACAAGTCAAAGAAGTTACATGTGTGGGAAATTTGTCAGACTAGAAACTGCCAGTTTTGCGGCTTCTCAGAGCAAAAAGTTAAAAGGCTTTGCTTAATCATTTATTTTCTACCCAGGTGCACAGAGATAGCTAACGAGTTTTAATGTGAAATACACTTCTTCTGTTTATAATACAACACTGTCCATTGGTCAGGAAATTACAGCTGAACAATGAGGTCTCTTCATTTCTGGTGATCTAATGTGCTGGACTGTTTTTTTCATTTTTTTATTTGAGGCCCATTGAGTCTGCCAGATTGTAAATTGCTATCTTTTTTGGCCTACCTTATCTTTTCTTTCCTTGTACATAGCCATTGTGTCCTTTATACCTGCTAATGATAGTGTTTCACATTTAGGTTTCTATTAAATGTTCATCAAGAAATATTCAGAAGTCACATCTGTTGCCTTCCTGAACCATCTCTGGACCCTGAAGGCATCACACCCTTGTTCAAGCCCCAATGTCACTTCACAGCTGAGGTGCTGATGGTACTTTCTGTTCTACTAGCAACATTGTCACAAGAAGCTCTATACAAAACTGCTGCTAAAAGTTCAATCCAACACTGCCCCAGAAGTTCTGTCCAGTAGGTGACCTCAAGTGTTTGTAGTAGGTGACCCCGAGTGTTTGTAGTAGGTGACCCTGAGTGTTTGTAGGTCTGCCTGGATATTATCTTTCATTGTCTTCTTGGTCTGCCTCATTGTCTACAGCCTCATACTTGTGTACACAGTTTTGCTTTTCTGTCACCAGCCAATCTCTCTATATGACCAAGTCATTTCAGTCTATTATCCCTCATAATGCCAGCGATCAGTGGGGATTTATACATATTATACTTTACTTACAAGGACTTAGCTCCAGATGTGCCAAAGCTAATCAAGTAATGGGTCAACTATCTCCCCTGTTGACACACAAGCAGATACCTCGGAGTACTAAACTGAATCTTGTCAGAACTATTTTTTGGCCAACACTATGCTATCAATGCCAAACGTGGACACTTACATCCTCCAATGAACGTAAAATTGTGACAACAGAGATGAAATGCCTTAGAAGAGCTGCAGGAGTTTCAAGGAAAGACAGAATACGAAATCATGAAATCAGACAAATGCTAGGAATAAAGCCAGTCTTACAGGTCATCAAAGAACAACAAATGAAGTGGTCTGGACACCTAACAAGAATGCCCTGGTACCATCCGCCACAACGAGCCACACTAAAACGTTACAACGGGTATAGAGCGAGTGGAAGACCTTGGAAAACATGGAGTGATGGTATTAAGAACAGCCTTACAGAAATGAACATCAGTCTTAATAGTGCTCTTGACAGAGCTCATCAACGAACATTACATCTTCCCCCGACACTTCGATGAGGTACAAGGTGGAAGAGAAGAAGAAGAACTTACAAGGACTTTACCTTGTATCCATTTCAGTCTGTTCTTGACCTGATGTGTAAAGATAAACATATGAAGAAGAAGAAGAAGAAGAAACAAATACAACTGAATAAACCAGAGAATAAGAAACAGCAGGAGAAGAAGAAAAGAAAGAACAAGAAAAAAAAAACAGACAAAGAAAAATAAAAGAAAGAAGGAGAAGTTTTTACCGCTCATTCAGACCAAGAACTCTGTGCTCCTTAAACACAGATGGAATGAACTCTTTAATCCGTTCCCACAGCTCTTGCACGTAAGGTACAGAATCTACAATGCAGCGCTTACTGCTACGTACATCAGTCATCATCTTTTCCCTGAAATATAACAAACTAAGGCATAATTCCCTTAAATACAACAAACTAAGGCATAATTCCCTTAAATACAACAAACTAAGGCATAATTCCCTTAAATACAACAAACTAAGGCATAATTCCCTTAAATACAACAAACTAAGGCATAATTCCCTTAAATACAAACAAACTAAGGCATAATTCCGCTTAAATACAACAAACTAAGGCATAATTCCCCTTAAATACAACAACTAAGGCATAATTCCCTTAAATACAACAAGCTAAGGCATAATTCCCTTAAATACAACAAGCTAAAAGCATAATTCCCTGAAATACAACAATACTAAGCATAATTCCCTGAAATACAACAAACTAAGGCTAATTTCCTGAAATAACAACGCTATTCAGCTAAAGCATAATTCCCTGAAAATACAACAAACAAAAAGCCTAATTCACCTGAAATACAACAAGCTAAAAGCATAATTCCCTGAAATACAACAACAAAAGCATAATTCCCTGAAATACAACAAACAAAAGCATAATTCCCTGAATACAACAAACTAAAAGCATAACTCCCTGAAATACACAAGCTAAAGCATAATTCCCTGAAATACAACAAGCTAAGCATAATTCCCTGAAATACAACAAGCTAAAGCATAATTCCCTGAAATACAACAAGCTAAAGCATAATTCCCTGAAATACAACAAGCTAAAGCATAATTCCCTGAAATACAACAAGCTAAAGCATAATTCCCTGAAATACAACAAGCTAAAGCATAATTCCCTTAAATACAACAAACTAAGGCATAATTCCCTTAAATACAACAAACTAAGGCATAATTCCCTTAAATACAACAAACTAAGGCATAATTCCCTTAAATACAACAAACTAAGGCATAATTCCCTTAAATACAACAAACTAAGGCATAATTCCCTTAAATACAACAAACTAAGGCATAATTCCCTTAAATACAACAAGCTAAAGCATAATTCCCTGAAATACAACAAACTAAAGCATAATTCCCTGAAATACAACAAGCTAAAGCATAATTCCCTGAAATACAACAAACTAAGGCATAATTCCCTTAAATACAACAAGCTAAAGCATAATTCCCTGAAATACAACAAACAAAAGCATAACTCCCTGAAGTACAACAAGCTAAAGCATAATTCTCTGAAATACAACAAGCTAAAGCATAATTCCCTGAAATACAACAAGCTAAAGCATAATTCCCTGAAATACAACAAGCTAAAGCATAATTCCCTGAAATACAACAAGCTAAAGCATAATTCCCTGAAATACAACAAGCTAAAGCATAATTCCCTGAAATACAACAAGCTAAAGCATAAGTCCAGCTGCTTGTTGTTTTTTAAACCATTTTTAAATGGCAAAAATACAAGTGGTTTAAAGGGGCAGTTTGCACATTATGTTGTGGTTTACTGATAAGCTGCAACAGCTGTTTTCTTTCAGCTCCTTATCCTGACCTCAGCCAACATCATGTTAGTCACTTTTATGACATGTTTGTTATGCCTCCCTGCTCCCATGGAGCCCCAGCATCCACACAGGGAGGTTCACTGTATCCACACAGGGAGGTTCACTGCATCCACACAGGGAGGTTCACTGCATCCACACAGGGAGGTTCACTGCATCCACACAGGGAGGTTCACTGCATCCACACAGGGAGGTTCACTGCATTCACACAGGGAGGTTTACAGCATCCCGTCAGGTTCTGGTTATTAGAGGGTTTCTGTAAACTTTATTACTGTCAAAGAGGAACGATTGTTGTAGGTAGCCAGTTGTACTAGAAACTAATAGACACACACAAAGATCTAATGTACAGTCAGCAAATTCACAAACTGTGATCTTCAACACGTATCAATCCATGTGTTAACAAAACCATGACACAAAGCTATCTACAATGACCTCACATTGTCTTCAATTGCCTGTCTATATAATTTATATTTCTTTATTATATGCATAACATTGATAACAGTTGATAACAATTGATAATATTGATAACAGGTATTAGTACTCTGAAGAATGAGTACTTAAAAGGGCTGAATGTCAGACGAGCCTGCGTGCCCAATTTTTAACCCTTTGAAAATAAAGTTTGTTCGTTCTCTTTCCACAGTTCTTTCCAGTGGTCACAATAGGTTCCAGTTTCCTTCGTCTCATAATATGACCCAAAACACTTGAAATACAGATACTTCAGTTTGTTATGATCTGCATTCAATCAGGTCTGTGGCTTAGGTACTGTGAATGTGCTTCATAATTTCAAAGTACCTGGTTCAATTTTAGCTACAGGTGATTTAGCAGCAAACTGAATTATGTTGATTATGACAGAGGTTAACACCACAATGTCCTGTTTGCTTATTGTAATTGGTTTGTAAAGTTGACATAAACCTTTTGTCTTTCCTACCTCTTTCCTTCTTTTCTTCTCTTCCCTAAAATGTCCTATCTTTTAAAACTTGTACAGGATAGTTACTAATTTTGTTCCCCCTGATTCTGAAATTATTTCAACGCATTTCAAACTACTTGCAAATTATTCTAAAAGAAACAGTTATAAATCATCCTTACCTACCGCCCCCCACGTTGACAAGTGCAGGGATGTAGCCGATCCTCTCTGTTTCTTGTATAAACCTGTTGCACTCCTGACACAAGACAGGGTCAAGGCCATTTTTGAAACATTAAATACATGTGAGATTTTTACTAAGAATCTTCAATGACATTATGAAGCCTTTTTTGCACTAAATTACCTTTATCTGCTTTATCATTTGTGAAACACATCATAAATCTATCTCATTCTTAATCACATCATTAGTTTATCTCATTCTCAATCACATCATTAGTTTATTTCATTCTCAATCATATCATAAGTTTATCTCATTCTCAATCATATCATAAGTATATCTCATTAAAAACAAGAATAGTAACTAGCAAAAGACAGGAAACTACATCTAACGCCTCTCTGTGACACTTTACAGCATAATCAATACGACAGAAGAAGACGAAGGGATGTTTAATTCCTGACATGTACAAGAGTTTCTCCAGTCTTACCATTGTCTAAGAAAGGTCAAACATTCAATCCCTGTACACATACCAAAAACATAATTTTTAAAAAAAAGGTGAGGGGGTGTCGCATGCTGACATACAAGAGACAGCACGGATAGTTGCTGTTATCACCAAGACATCATAAAAAGGTGATGATGATATTTGCATGGTTTTGGTTGCCGGTGAACAGAGTTTGAGATCCTGATCCAACAGTTGTTCCCTGGAATCATAGGCCATTTGCTCTGGTAAGTCCTTCTCACAATATGCAGCACTGGCCAGTCATACAATGAGCATCATAATTGGTTTTGGTAGTGGGGGGGGGGGGGGGGCGATGTACAGTGAGGCTTCGACTGCAATTCAGCCTAAGGCTAGTATCAAGTTGAAGAAGATAATGTGTCACCTGTTCTTGCTCATATATATCAGACACCTACACTGATCATGAACTATTATTTATCAGTACATCATGTTTAGACTACACGAACTAGTTACAACTATTTAACAACTGTTTTGCAATTCCCTGTTGATGAGAGTCAGGAGCACAGAACTCCAACAAACCTATGAAGTCCGTATCTACACACTTTTGAGCTTAACTGATTTTAAATGACAGTTTTGCATTCAAATTTTACAACATGTTCTTACTTAACTGTTGTATAATACTTAGCTTTATACTACATTGTTCAGCATGCAAATGGGACATGTTTTACTGCCATCATGCATGCTTCAGGGTGAGCTTATTCTGAAGGATCATCTGAATATTAATAAGCTCATCTGTGGGCAATACACAGCTCTCATCTTAAAAATAAGCTTATTTGTACGAAGACTGTTAGTTCCTTACCTCTCTGAATTAAAGTCCACCCAAAACTTTCAACCGGAGTTTACAGCCATGAAAATGAGGAGGAGGAAGAAGAAAAAGAAGAAGAAGAAAAAAAAGAAGAAGAAGAAGAATAAGAAGAAGAAGAAAGAGGGAAGAAGAGGAGGAGGAAGAAGAGAAGGAGAGGATGAAAAAGCAAAAGGAGGAGGAGGAGGAGAAGAAGAAGAAGAAGAAGAAGAAGAAGAAGAAAATAAATGCTTGCCTTGGTGCGACTAAACTTAAAGCTTTTGTGGGCCTAATGAGCTATGGGCTGGACATCCCTCACCACTACTGAAAAGAAAGAATAAATACTGTCTGTGGATAATTTCTCTAAAACTGGTACCCAAGTCTGGCTGAAGAACACAACTGCTTCATGCATCTTCAGAAGTAATGGGTACCCATGACTGCCTGTATAGAGGCTGCAAGGAAGCAGCCTCTCAACTGTGCAAAGACACAACAGGATAATCTGTTTGCCTTAAACTATGATTGCAAGTTATCACAGACAGAAAACTGGACTTAACGGAAATCTGCTGATGGAGAAGTCTGGTGATGTCTCTGGCAATACTCTACTCCCCAGGGTAGAAGAAGATCAACTAATTGAAGTGAATGTGAATACCTAACAAGTCAGTCTCATTTACGTGTGTGAATGTTAAAATGCAACAACACAACAGTTACCACAAGTCTACCTCTTCTGTGAGGACATTATGCAATACAAAGGCAAGTTTTCCTTGATAACCAGATGGCAGATTGATATCCTCCTTCGTAACATGAGGTCTCATGCCTTCAGTAAACATGGTGGCACAATTCTTTCTTGACCTGTCAATACTGTAGGTGTCAACAAATTTACATTTAGATGGAAACAAATATTCCATTATCTTATTACATAAGTAAATGAAAACTGATTTGAAAAGGTTGACATACTTAATGATATTGGTGATGATGATGGTAGTTGTGGTGGTGGTGGTGGTGATGTTGGTGATGATGATGGCAATTGGGGTTGTGGTGGTGGTGGTGTTAATGATGTGTAGTTGAGGTGGTGATGGTGTTGACAATGTGTGGTTGTGGTGATGGTGGTGTTGATAATGTTTGGTTGTGGTGATAGTGGTGTTGATGATGTGTTGATGTGGTGATGGTGGTGTTGATGATGTGTGATGGTGGTGTTGATAATGTGTGGTTGTGGTGATGGTGGTGTTGATGATGTGTGGTTGTGGTGATGGTGGTGTTGATGATGTGTGGTTGTGATGGTGCTAATGATGTGTGGTTGTGATGGTGTTGATGATGTATGGTTGTGGTGGTGTTGATGATGTGTGGTTGTGATGATGGGGGTGTTGATGATGTGTGGTAGTGGTGGTGGTGTTGATGATGTGTGATTGTGGTGGTGGTGTTGATGTGTGGTTGTGGTGGTGTTGATGATGTGTGGTTGTGATGATGGGGGTGTTGATGATGTGTGGTTGAGGTAGTGATGGTGTTGATGATGCGTAGTTGAGGTGGTTGTGGTGTTGAAAATGTGTGGTTATGGTAATGGTAGTGTTGACAATGTGTGGTTGTGGTGTTGCTGATGATGTGTGGTTGAGGTGGTGGTGATGTTGATAATGTGTGGTTCTTGTAATGGTGGTGTTGATAATGTGTGGTTGTAGTGGTGTGGTTGACGATGTGTGGTTGTAGTGGTGGTGTTGATGATGTGTGGTTGTGGTTGTTTTGATGATGTGTGGTTGTGGTGATGGTGTTGATGATGTGTGGTTGTGGTGGTTTTGATGATGTGTGGCTAAGGTGGTGGTGATGTTAATGATGTGTGATTGTGGTGGTGATGGTGTTGACGATGTGTGATTGTGGTGGTAATGGCGATGATGGTGTTGACGATGTGTGATTGTGGTGGTGATGGTGTTGACGATAGCGATGATGGTGTTGACAATGTGTGATTGTGGTGATGATGGTGTTGGCGATGTGTGGTTGTGGTGATGGTGTTGACGATGTGTGGTTGTGGTGATAGTGTTGACAATGTGTGGTTGTGGTGATGGTGTTGATGATGTGTGATTGTGGTGGTGATGGTGTTGACGATATGTGGTTGTTGTGGTAATGTTAATGATATGTTATTGTGGTGGTGATGGTGTTGATGATGTGTGATTGTGGTGGTGATGGTGTTGGCGATGTGTGGTTGTGGTGATGGTGTTGACGATGTGTGGTTATGGTGATGGTGTTGACGATGTGTGGTTGTGGTGATGGTGTTGATGATGTGTGATTGTGGTGGTGATGGTGTTGATGATGTGTGGCTGTGGTGATGGTGTTGACGATGTGTGGTTGTGGTTGTGGTGATGGTGTTGACGCTGTGTGATTGTGGTGGTGATGGTTTTGACAATGTGTGGTTGTGGTGATGGTGGTGTTTATGATGTGTGGTCGAAGTGGTGGTGATGTTAATGATGTGTGATTGTGGTGGTATTGGTGTTGGCGATGTGTGGTTGTGGTGGTGATGGTGTTGGCGATGTGTGGTTGTGGTTGTGGTGGTATTGGTGTTGGCGATGTGTGGTTGTGGTTGTGGTGGTATTGGTGTTGGCGATGTGTGGTTGTGGTGTCATGATGTGTGGTTGAGGTGGTGGTGATGTTAATGATGTGTGATTGTGGTGGTGATAGTGTTGGCGATGTGTGGTTGTGGTTGTGGTGGTGATGGTGATGGTGGTGGTGATGGTGTTGGCGGTGTGTGGTTGTCGTGGTGATGGTGTTGGTGATGTGTGGTTGTGGTTGTGGTGGTATTGGTGTTGGCGATGTGTGGTTGTGGTTGTGGTGGTATTGGTGTTGGCGATGTGTGGTTGTGGTGTCATGATGTGTGGTTGAGGTGGTGGTGATGTTAATGATGTGTGATTGTGGTGGTGATAGTGTTGGCGATGTGTGGTTGTGGTTGTGGTGGTGATGGTGATGGTGGTGGTGATGGTGTTGGCGGTGTGTGGTTGTCGTGGTGATGGTGTTGGTGATGTGTGTTTGTGGTTGTGGTGGTGATGGCGATGTGTGGTTGTGGTTGTGGTGGTGATGGTGTTGGCGATGTGTGGTTGTGGTGGTGATGGTGTTGGCGATGTGTGGTTGTGGTGGTGATGGTGTTGTTGATGTGTGGTTGTGGTGGTGATGGTGTTGTTGATGTGTGGTTGTGGTGGTGATGGTGTTGGCGATGTGTGGTTGTGGTGGTGATGGTGTTGGCGATGTGTGGTTGTGGTTGTGGTGGTGATGGCGATGTGTGGTTGTGGTTGTGGTGGTGATGGCGTTGGGGATGTGTGGTTGTGGTTGTGATGGTGTTGGCGATGTGTGGTTGTGGTGGTGATGGCGATGTGTGGTTGTGGTGGTGATGGTGTTGGCGATGTGTGGTTTGTGGTTGTGGTGGTGATGGTATTGGCGATGTGTGGTTGTGGTGGTGATGGCGATGTGTGGTTGTGGTGGTGATGGCGATGTGTGGTTGTGGTGGTGATGGCGATGTGTGGTTGTGGTTGTGGTGGTGATGGTGTTGGCAATGTGTGGTTGTGGTGGTGATGGTGTTGGCGATGTGTTGTTGTGGTTGTAGTAGTGATGGCGATGTGTGGTTGTGGTGGTGATGGCGATGATGGTGACGGTGGTTATGAAAAAATATTAAATAAAATGGCTTGGCACTTTGTGCGCTTGACACCAATGAAGTGATCTAGTTTCGATACCCAGCATCTAAAACAATGACTGTCTTTGGCCTGTGCAGTCCGGGAGTCGACCACAGCCTCATAAAATAATTACCTGAACAATGTTCACAAGTGTCATTGGATGACAATTCTTATCCTGCCGTATTATACCATCTCACAAAATATTTACGAAAGCCCAAATCGGCATACTTCAGTGTTGTAATACACACATGCGCGTGCGCGCGCACGCTTTTTACACACGTACGTAGGCACAAACACAATCAGACACAGACAGACACGGGCATACAGATACACAGACAAACATTCACACCCTATACACAGACAGACAATCAAATAGTAAAGTTAAACTATACGCGCCCGTACGCAGTCACACACAGAGAGAAACATAAACATATACGCCTGCATGACAACACGCTCTTCAACAAAACTCACCTGCCTAGAATGGAGACTGTTCGAAACTGGAATAACTGTCCCTTTTTTTCTGTTCACGCACCCAACCGAGCCCTTGGTGTCAGTCAGAACTACAGTACGTCGATTTCTTGTTTTGTATCTCCTCTTTAAGAAACATGACTAAACTTCTAATCCTGACACGGTAAAGTTAAAAAAAAACTGGGAATGTTTTCACCATGACGCAGTAACATGACAACACGGATCTTTAACACAAGTTCCTTGAGTAATACGATTATAGCTATCTGACCTCTGTCCGATAACATCTAATAGTAATTTTATCAAACCAGGAATGATAACATAACACCGTATTGAAAACAATTTGTCTATCCTACTTCTGTGTTGTTTTCACTGAGTTTCACTTCAAACTTGGGGAACCCCTGGCTCTGCCCATTCCAGGAACTAACCAGGTCAGTCTAAATATAGCTCATTGAAAGGCTACATTTTCAGGGGTTTCCTGTGTGGTGTGATGGAATGCGCATGTTCCTGTGAGTGGAATATGTTTACTACGACCTCCCTTAGCTTGATAAAGGAGGCTGCGATGTGTACTTATGTGTGTATAGGAGAGTTAACAATTATTTGGAAGCTGCAGGCGTATGATTTTACAGATAATGATAAGAATACCCTGGACAGACACAAAAAGAGTAATGAAGATATATCCTGAAATAAACTGATTAACGAAGACAACTGACTGCCCACATCAGAGAGAGAGAGAGCGCGTCTAGATTCTTTGGTCATGTGACGAGAAGGAGAAAACTAGACTACATTGTGACAGAGGAACGTTGGAGGGGAAGAGAGACAGAGGGAGACCGAGAGAACAGATGCTGGATAGTCTGACATAATAACATGGAGGATCATCGGTGTCAAAGTTGATTGAAAGTGCACGAAACAAAAGGTTACAGATAGACATGACTACCAACGCCACACGGCATGGACGTTAAGAAGAAGGGAGAGTGATGCTACTGATTGAGATGTGTGATGAGTATTTTTGTGTTGAGTAAATACGGTTTAACTCTTAATGGACGGAAGTCCATGAGATGAAGTAGTGTTTATGGGGTTAGGGGGGGGGGGGAACAAAATTGTTGTCAGTTCGTAACGGAATACCTTATAGTGAACTGTTTGTTTTGTGTTGTCCTGGTTTTTCTATTAAATGTTCCATTGATGCGCACTTATAATGCACAAACATGCGAAATAGATTAATGTTTTGCTTGATTACCGCTGGCTGGCACAGATCACAGTGTTGACAAATGCTTTCAACAAACTGGTAAGAAGGGCAGTAACCGCTCACAGATCCGTGGTGGCGATGGTGAAGGCGTCATGCAAGGGCTAAAAGCTTCCAGGAACCTCAGTAGTTGGAAATTGAAGAGAACACGCTAAAAGTGCTAAATTAGAAAAACTACCAATTAAAAACCGAATATTTAGAGCATGTGTGATTTTACCTATTCATATTTCGATCATCAGTAGAACTAGGAAGTGTGTCTTAGTTTATACATTGTGCTGAGTTTCTGCTTGTCCAGTATGGTACAATGCGCCTTGGTAATCAGTGGGGGCGAGTACGTGGGCTGACCTTTAAAAATCTGTGATTTAAAAAGCGTCGTCCCCATATGGATGCAATTTTTCGTTATTTTGAAGCCCCACTCTGGCTTTTGCCGGGGACCGCAATATAGGCGGGCCTTAAAAATGACCTAATGGCTGAACGCAATTTTCGGGATCTCTCCACGGATGATCCTCATCCGCATGGTGGTACTTTGTGTCACCGGGTGTTTATCGCTCTG